GGTCTTCCCTGGAAGGAGGAAGAGAGTAGCCACCTGTGCTAGGCGACACCTCTCTGCTTGACATGGCCAATGCAGGGAAGATTCCTGGGGTCTCTCTGTTGGTCCCAACAAGCCCCCCCCTACCCCAGCCCTTGCTGATTCCTTGCTTACAGCCATGGTGTGGCATCTGAGGCCCTGTCCCCGCCTTCTAGGCTTGTGATTGCTCTGCCTAACTCTTGCTTTCCTCGCTTTCTCCCTCCCTCCTCTCCACATGGGTGCTGATAAAGTATAAAGTCCTCTGGGATATGGGTCACTCAGGGCTTTTTGAGGCTGGAGCAAGGTGATGTGTGGCTCTGAAGGAACCTCAAGCATCCTTTTGAGTCTTTTCTAGGTCTCCATCTCATTTAGGTAAGAGGGGGGTCCCTTTTGTAGGCATATCTCCCCGAGAACCTGCCTACCTCCTTGGGCAGGTCCCACAAGGCTTGGCTTTATCTCGAGGGACATTCAGGGGCACTCCCTAGCATCTCCGAGGCCCAGTTTCTCCTCCTTACTGCCTCAGGCTCCTCCAGGGATCCATGGCCTCCTGCCGGGCAGCAGTGGGTTGGAGGCCGCCCAGTCCCCCCAGAGGGAGCCATAGGATCCTGTACACAGCTTGCCCTAGGACACAGTGTGTGGCCACAGACAGCATGGCTGCCAGCCCTAGCCTGGGAGTCTCCGCATGAGCTATGGAGTGAAGAATGTGGTTGTGGGAAACCCAATGCCCTAGGCCAACAGGGCTGGGCAGGGATGGGTGCGAGGGGCAGATGGGCAGAGACCCCAGCAGTGGCACCCTGTGAAGCCTGGCTATTTACAGGACCCCGCTAGGAATCCCCTCCCCCAGTTTTTCCTACTTGTCAGCTGACTCCTTCTTCAATGTTGCCACCTTTGATTACTCAGTACCCATTCCAGGAAACCTTTCCAAAAGGGACATTCCAGAAGCTCCCCTCTGCCCTTCTAACATACAGAGCAGCCTGTTGGCTACAAAGGCATCCTGGGGGTTCCTCCTGTGGCATTCAGACCCTGGCCTCCTGAGGTGAGGGGGACCCCGCTAGCCACACAATTTACTACCTCCTGCCTGGGGTTTTGGTCTCTGAACCTCCCATGTTGCCCAAGGCAAGGGCACGCTGGGGTTTCCTTCACTGAAGCCTTTTCTGGGTCAGGTATAAGGCAGAAGATGTGTGACATAAAGGTTGTCTATGCCTTGCCTGAGTCCCTTCAGAAAACAAACTGGCGAGGTAGGGAAACACTGAAGGCAGAAAGCCAAGAAGGTGCCCGTACTTCTGCAATGACTAAAATGAAGGAAGATCTTAAGTTAGTACAGCAGAGAGGATATGCTGAGTGGGAAGGACGGACAGTGCAAAGGTCCTGTGGCAGAAGGAAGGAGAAAACTAGAGAGGAAGGAGTGGAAGTTTGGGTGAGGAATTCCTTCACACAGGGCTGGAGAAGTGACAGTGTTTTAAATAGACACACTGAATGCCAGGTACCCACTGAGGGCTGTGGGTATGCCATCTGGTTTAATTTTGTTTAAACAATTTTTCTAAATGAGGGGTACTGTCCATCCCTTGGGTGACACATAACAGTGTCTGGAGACATTTTGGCAGTCATAACTAAGTGGTACTGATATCTAGTTAGGTGACATGTTCAGGACACCAATGGCCTCACCACTGCAGAGTGTTCACAAGACCCAAGTTAAATGCCCTGCATTTCTCACAGGTGAGAGCCAGGATCCCAGGAACTCACTACCGGCCATGCCAACTCTCTTTTCTCAGTCCACTCTGGAAACTGCAGGTGGAGGGCTTGTGCTCCTGTCTTACCGTAACTGTGCATGGCCTGGGCATGGCCCTCACTGAGCATCGTCACCTATAACATGTGCTTTGCCCTGGTTTCTGTCCTCTGACTTGAAAGTTCCTAGGGTCCAGCTCTAGGGATGGTCTCTGGATTTGGATTCTACAAAGAGATGATGGTGAAGGCAGGGTGTTGCCAATTGACTGACCGGTGCCAGCACTTCCAAGCCTCCTCTCACAGATGGCATCTCTTTGGGCTCCTTCCCTCAGCTTGGCCCTGAGAATTGCTTTACCTCCAGTCTTCCCTCTGGAGAAAGGTGATTTTCAGGAGAGGGCAAGCCTTGTCCTTGGCTAGAGCCACTAACTAACTCAGTGAATGTCACTGAGCCTCATGTTGCAAGCACTGCTGATGGTGCCTGGTCATCGTGGTACCTGGAGCCAACACTGGCCTTGATCAGAATATTTGGTATAAAGCCAGCTTATCATACACACACCAGTGTCATGGAAAGGAGCAAAGCCGTGCGAGGTCTGTGAGCTCCCTTTAGGGTGTATGAGGGTGCTGTGAGGGCGTTTCAGAGTGGGCCCTTTGAGAGGTGATGATACCTACTTGAGTGGTCTCTGTGGGGGAAGGAAAGGGGTCTCAGGGTGTCCCTGTTGTTTGAACATGAGTGGGGTGCTAGCGCAGGATGTTACCACTCTAAAGCCCCAATCCAGTGCCTACTCAAGTCCAGTAGGGAGGGCTGCTCCCCTATGTTCTCAGACATTAATGGGGATCTGTTTAGGGTGATGGCCCTGGGAGGACCAGTGACCATGGTATGTAAAGAGACTGACTCTCTCTCTCTCTCATGTGTTTGTGTGTGTGTGAATGTTTGTGTCGGGGGTGGGGGACAGGCTGCTCAGCAGGTGAGTCATAGCTAGACTGGGCTCTGGGTTGTCCCTCTGTGCCTGGCTCTAGGAGTGTATCTGCTCTGCCTCTGGAAATACTTTCCCCCACTAATGCCTCCCCAAACCCTGACACAGGAGAGGTGAAAGGTAGGACCACTCTGGTCCCAGATCATATGGGGATGGCTGGAGAACCCTAGGGACCTTGTGGGATGGCTGAGCCCTCCTTAGGAGGCAGGACAGGTCAAGGAACCTAGGCCCCATGTAGGGCACTACAAGAAAAATTCTAATAGGCCCTGAGCCAGGCCTGGAACACCTGGCCCAGCCCCTGTGTAGTCCCAGGGAGGAGAATAACTCTTCTGATCTCAGGCTTCAGGCCCTGTGCGCGCATATGGACCCAGAAAGTGCTTACAGAGAGAGGCACTGTGAAGGGGTGGGGGGAGGTGTGTGTGTACTTGTAGATCCTGTGATGTGTGCAACTTCCCACAACTGCACATGCTCACCTAGTACATTGCCTGCTTGTAGGATACCTGTGTGAGGCTAGGCTGAGGACAAGGAGTCCATCCCAGAAGAGCTTGGACTCTGCTCCCCACTTCAGCAGTGGTAGGAACATTAAGGTGTGTGTGTGTGTGTGTGTGTGTGTGTGTGTGTGTGTGTGTGTGTGTTGCATGTATGAAGTGGACTGTATGCCTAGGGGCTGTGAAGCCTCACTTCCAGTGTCCTCACCTGCTTTTCTTGTGTCCGTGTGACTTATGGCTGTGTTTTTGCTAAGTTCCTTAAGGCTTGCTCCTGCACCAGATACCCTGTAACTGGGAGGGGAGCTCTACAGCCATCAGACACTGGACTCTATGCCTATTCTGGAAACAGGGTACCTGTGTGGCAGGGCACAGGCCAAGTGCTTTGCTTTTCCTGAGGAAACTCCAGGATTCCTGGAGTCCCTACCTGCCTAAGAGGCAGGATTCTAGATGTAACTGGGGTCTTAACCTGTCTGTTGTGTAGCACCCTCTGTGTTATTCTGTGTGTATAAATGTATGTATGTCTGCATGTATGTACATGTGTGTGTTAATAGTGTGTGTGGTACATATGTGGTGTGGTATGTGTATGTGTGTGTGGTGTGCTATGTGTATGTGTTTGTGGTGCGTTGGGGTGGTGTGTGTGTGTGTGTGTGTGTGTGTGTGTGTGTGTGTGTGTTGTGTGTGGGAGAGGTGTATGTGTGTGGAACATGTGTTGGGGTGGTGTGATGTGTGGGTATGAGAGGGGTGTGTGCGGTGTGGTGTAGTGTGTGTGTGTGTGTGTGTGTGTGTGTGTGTGTGTGTGGTCTGGAAATAAACCTCAGATGGCATTCCTCAGGAATCACCTACCTGGTTTTTTAAGACAAGGAGTTTTTCCACTTGCAATTAGGGCTTGCAATTAGGTTAGGCTGCCTGTCTCTGCCTCCTCAGCATTGGGGCTATAGATGTGGGCTACCACATCTAGCATTTTTACATGGGTTCTAATGATAAATTCATATCTTCATGCATGTGATTCTGAACAAATAGGAGTACATATATGACTGTCACCCTCAGCCAGGCTGCATACTGGGTAGCTTCTGGAATCCATCCCCACAGCCTATGCCTTTCTTCCTTAAGCTTAGGACTTGCTCACATGTTTGATTACATACCGAATGCCAGGTGGTGCCCCAAGAACTACTTGTCTACCTTTAACAGGCACAGCAGCTTTCTGGGCTGAGTGAGCACTGTATAGTTATCTCTGATATACAAAAATTGATTCTTCAGACAGTACTTGTCTGAAGTCACAGGGAAAGTTAGCAACAGGCAACATCAGAACTCAAGTGATCCGGTTTTAGCTATGTTGAAACTGTGGCGGAAGGAAGTAGGGGAGTGTTACTGTATTCTCACTGCAGGAGAGGTGTCCAGTAGTGAGACTCAGAACCTGTACCACAGCAGCAAGGCCTTGATGAATATATTGGGACACCAGAGGAGCATGTTCCTCCTGCGTGTGTGGTGTGAGCCCTTTGCAAGGACAGAACGGGGCAGACCTTGTTCTAAGCATGGTTAAGGACAGCTGTGAGGAGCATGACCTGCCTGAAGCCCAGGCCTGGGTTGAGGGCAGCAAGCCTCAGTGTGAGGTGGGAGAGATGGGGCAAATTGCTTGGTCTGACCCTCAGGTATAACTCTCTGAAGAATTCACACCCAGAGCTGATTCTTGCTTGGAGGTCTGTGTGTCCGGAGTAGGAGGACTGAGATTCAGCTGTGACTGGGAGCAGGAATCCAGGGTCAGTGTTCTGATGTGCCCTGACAAACCTTGTGTCCCCAGGGCGGCATGGTGGATGACAGGAGCGAAGATTCCATGTCCGTTTCTACCCTGAGCTTTGGCGTCAACAGACCCACAATCTCCTGCATCTTTGACTGTAAGTTACACTTGGTGACATCTGCGTGTGTACGCACGACATCATCCTTGGAGTGCAGTTCCATGGTCAGGAGTGTGTATGCTGAGGCTCTGGAGAACTGACTGTGTGCTTCCAGGCCAGTCAGGCTTTTTGGCACGTGAGCCTATGTACAAGTGGGCATTCACGTCTCTGTGCAGAAGATGGGATGCATGCATTCAGTCCTTCTTCCTCCCCTGTCTCTCTCCCGGGATTAGATAGCCTCAAAGGATGCAGGCTCCTGCTTCTGAGCTAGAGTATGTCTTGACTGGAAGAGGCTCACTCTGCCTGTCAGCTGTTGCCATTTCCATTTTCAGCCAGAGTCTGCTGCCCTTCTTGGGGCAGACCCTCCTCTTCCTGTAGCTCCAGCCCTTAGCAACCCTATTTATCACATGGCATCTCTGTTTCCTTCTGAGTGAAGATGGGAACCGCTACCATCTGCGTTGCTACCTGTATCAGGCCCGAGACCTGCCGGCCATGGACAAAGACTCCTTCTCAGGTAGGTGGACAAAGGAGAGGAGCAGAACTCCCAAGGGGAGGGCTCAAAGTGTGTGGTATGGCTAGCAGGATCCTTGAGTCTTCACTTCAGCAAGTGCTAGATACTGTTTCCTCCTCATCAGGACAGCTGTGCCTCAAGTGAGACTTAGTGGATTGTCCCTTTCTTCCCAGGGGTCAGTCTTGGTTAGATCTCTATCTCTATGTAGGTCACTCTGTGTAGACCCAGCTCCCTGAGGCCCCTACCTTCCTAGACCAGATTCCTGAGGCTGCAGCACTCCCAGACCCAGCTCCTGGAGGCCTGCTCCATCCTGGACCCAGCTTTCAGGCCCTGCCACTCCTAGACCCAACATCTGTATTGCCTGCCTGGCCTGGGGTCCTTTATGGAAGCCTTGGCTATACAGTTCTATGCATCTTTGCTTCAGCAGAACACTTGCTCTACTCTTTCCTATCTAGGTCGCTCGGTTTCCTGCCTGCCCTCCTTGTTCCCTCCTACTCTGACCCAAACATAACTAGACTTCTTATTCCCTTGTTTTGAAGTATAGGCCCTGACAGATAGATGAACCTGCCACATACTTGCCCCAATGGACAAGCCTTTTGAGGGGTGTCGGCTGTGCTCTCATCTCTGCTTGCACCCACTACCCACGAGCCCCAGCCCTACCAGCTTTGATCTGCCATTGCAAGCCTCCTGCATGTGCCTGGCCTTTGCATTTAATGCTTCCTCAGCCTAGAATGCATTTCTTCCTCAATTTCAACTTTAGGACCTAGATCACATGTCCTCTGATTCCCCCAAGCTGAGTTGGTCACTCCTTCCCCAGTCCCTGATACCTCTCCAGGATGTTTCTCTGTGCCCGTATCCAAGTGGGGCTCCATGGTGGTCTGTCTGCTGCAGTCTTCCCATCGGCTGTGTGCTCACACAGGGAGGTGCTGTGTTTTCCTTCTGAACACTCAGCACTAGACATCTGAAGAGCAGACATTTACAGAGCACCACTGTGTACCTGGGCAGATACTGACAATTAGATGTCCCATCTCCTTATTTTATAGGTAAAGAAATAGAGACTCAGGTGGGTTCCCCAAATTGCTTGAGTTGAAATAGCTGACAGGTGACAGAGTTGGGAATTAAATCCAAAGTTGTTCCCCTGCAAGTACCTACCCATGGTTAAGGAGGGTTGGGTTCCATGAGAGCCGCCTTCTGGTGACAGAGTGTCTGCACAGCTTATAGCCACACACCTGTCCTTCTAAGCCCAAGGTCACTCTCCTTCCCAGAAGCTGGATTTCATATCTAGGTGCCTCTGCTCTCAGTGACCTGCCCTCCAGCCCCACTCAGCTAAGCATCCATGGCTTTGGAGGCGGGTCCTGAGAGAGCCCTTTGCACATTGACATTGGCAGGCTGGGGGCAGTTAGACATCTACAGTGGCTGTGTCTAGGACTCTGACATTGGAACTGACACCGAGGAAGGTAGAAATGGACTGATTCCCAGCCCAGCCTTTTCCTTTTAGTGGAGGGTATGTGGGTGAGGATGGAAGGCTGCTTGTCTTCTGTGAACTGAGTGGGTTGAGGACCCCAAAGGGCAGGGACTCTCCAAGGACTGTAGCCTGGGGAGCTGGAGCTTGGCATGGATCATGCAGCAGGGTCAGCAGGCACTGGTCTGGGAGATGTCATACTTTCCACCCAGATAAACATCCCTGGAGCTTTGAGGGCGCTGCCCAGGGCTTCCTCAGAGGCCATGGGCTTCTGAATGAAAGGCCCGATTGAGCAGCAGCTGGAAAGGAAAACAGCAGCCAACACGGGGGAACCTATAAAACTCTGAGTGTTTATTTTCACTCCCAAACCTTAAACCAAAGCGATTTCTCCCCGGGAACTGACCCTGGGGTGGCTGGCTGCCCAATGCTGTGCCCAGCCACTGGTTGCCATATCTGAGGAGCCTGGTGTTTGAAGCCGGAATGTCTGAGGCCAGAGGAGGGCCCAGCTGTGACTGAGACTTCTAGGAGCATCTTCCAGCTGCCTACCCATTGTCCAAGGCCATGCAGCCCTCTGCTTCCCACTGTGTTCCCACCAATAGTCTGTGGATGTGCAGTCTGGAGGAGACACTTGTAGGATGTTGCTGTTCAGGTGGCCTGAGGACTATACCTCAGTGGGGCTTACCTTTGTGGTCACATCTGCTCTTTAGACCCATGGAAGGTGTCTGTGGTGTATGCTTGAATTAAGTGTGTGCAGTAAAGGTCAGGCAGAGAGTATAAGACGCAGCTAGTACCAGTTGACTGCTCTGATATTGGTACAGGTTTAGCTCTGAGCTAAAAGCTGTGACTCCAAAGGACTGAGACATTACTTGTCATCAGCTCTGTTCCTAGCTCTGTCTTGCCTGACCCTTCAAAGTGGCAGCATCATGCCGTCTCCCAACACAGTCCAAACCCACATCTTCCTAGTTCTGTGCACACCAATGCTGTTGAAGGGCAGATGATGCCCCCTTGGTCCAGTCCCTGCTAAGAACTGTTTCTGGACTGGATGAAGCCATAGTTCTGCTGACAACTGCCACTCCATACACAGAGGATCTTTGGGAACTGTTGTCTTACAACATTTCAGGAACAAAGATATGTTTATTATACAGACTCACTGAGGGCCTTACAGGTCGATGGGCCCAAAGGCATATTCCTTGGCTAACCCAGTCAAGGAGAGATGGCTGACAGGCCAGATGTTACACGATTTAGTGACCCATGAGGAGAAGGGTCTACTTATGATGTCTCACATTCCTCTGTTGGCCTGTGGTCCAGTGGTGTTGAAGTGGTGTGGTTCTGAGAGATGTTCCTGCTAGGGCAGGTCGGGGTCTACCTGTGCTGTTGTCACCCCTAGACTTGGGTGTCACTGGGGACTTCCTCTCTCGGGCTTCTGATGTTTGGCTGCTACTTGGCCCTCCCTCATCTAATACAGGCTTTCTTTTCAGGTTGGCTCTGGCACACGGGGGGACGGGGACCAGACATCCACTCATCAGGCATGGAAAGGGGTTTTCCAGACTGCATTGGAGGCTTGTGAAACACTTCACTTAGAAAGGGTTCCTGGGAAAGAGACTGGGAAAGGGATCCCAGTTTTACAATGCACAATGACTTGGAGGAGCAGTCTAACCTGCTTCAGCATTCCTCAGTGCCTTCCCAAGAATGGGGAGCATGAGTCAGGACTCAGGCCAGATTTGCCAGCACCAGTCCAGGCCCTTTGACATCTGTCCACCATCCCTTCTACTGCAGTGTCCTGGCTCTGGTGCTACCTTCTTTCCTTCTTTTTATCACCCAGGTCAGTTGCTTAACCTGTGCATGGCTGGCATTTGGGAACACCTTGCTCTTGCTCTTTTTTTTTTTTTTTTTCTCCTAATCAGGGCAGGAGAACCTCCTTTGGAAAGTTTATTGGATGCAGACAGGTGAGACTGTCCAGATGACTTGACTGTCCCCTACTTACTAGTGTTACTTTGTCTCTTAACTTGGATAGTGACCATCTCACCAGGACTCACAGTGAAGAGCTTGGCTGGAGTCTCCTTCATCTCTGCATCCCCAGCAGTGAGCTACCCTACTGCACAGTAGCCAGTCAGTACACTGGTACTGACTGGGTGATGTGTTACCAGAGCCCCTGTGGCAACGCCCTTGCACCTAGAGCCTTTGGCTAATTTGGATGATGCCCAGGAATTTGAGGAAAACATTACAAACAGTTTTATGTTTTCAGGGCGTCCTGCCCAGCTGCTTTCTGAAGGGTCACTAAGTAGCTTCCAGTAGGAAAGAACACTTACTTTACCCAGTGCTCACCGACACTGGTTTGGTAATTTTGAACTTTTTTTTTCTAAATTTTAATTTCACTTATTTATTTTTTAAATTTATTTTACTTTTGTGATAGGGATTCATGTTGCTCAGGCTGGTGTGGGATACACTATGTAGCTAAAGATGGCCTTGAACTCCTAACTCTCCTTCCTTTAATTCCGGAGTACTGGGATCACAGGTAGTATGCTGGCCTTTTTCTTGATTTTGTAGTAACAATATTGCTGTGGCATAGTTTGAACTTGCATTGTTTTGATTTCTGGGGCACATTCCACTTTCTTTTCCTATGGGGATGGCGTAGAGTACTGGGCTAGGAGTCAGGCCAGCATCAGTGTCCTTGGTCCTGCTCCTTGTCTGGCAGTTGGGTTGGGTGGGGGCAGGGTACTACCATTAGTCATAGTCTCTAGTCTGTCTGGTTGATGGCAAAGCAAGTATCATTTGGAGCCCCAGGAAGGTCCGGACAGCAGGGCTGGCCCAACACCCTGGTACAAAGCTTTGGATCTATACAAAAAATGTCCTGTCTGGAGCTTTGGTGCCAGGACCCTGGATCTCTTATGAGGGAAACAGGTGGCATATTCAAGTGGCCTGTGTCTGGAGCCTGCCTCTCCAAGGCAGCTTGTGGTCCTTAGAGAGCTCTGTCCAAACATGCCCCCTTGGGGGTTGCTTTAGCTGTTTGGGTCCTGCAGCCCTCAGGCTGGCTGAACTATGGGCATAAGGATCCAACCCTTTTCCCCTGACCTCCTTGACCCCTGTTCTTTGCTTCTCTGACAGAGGATGTGTCTGTGAGTCCATCTGGCCACCTGGTGGCTTGCTGCTTATGTCTTTTGCAGGGATGGGGGTGGGGAGACGGCGGAGGTGGTGGTGGAGGCTGGGCCCTGGCCACACAGTAGCCTAGTGTCTGAGGCATAAGGCCTCCAGGCCTGTTCTTTACAATGCTTTTGTTGTCCCTTTCCCTCCCATGGGTGGGTGGGGTGCATGCGTGTGGGTCTGGGTGAGTTTTGTTTGTAAGCTGCCCCCTCTCTGTCCCCCAGCGCTGAGCTCATTGCCTGAGCTGCTGGAAAGAGCCAGCCTGCTCAGAGGCCTGCGTGGGGGGTGCTGCCAACACCAATACAACGTGCATGGCCGCTACAATGTGCAATTGTGACCTTTGTGTAAACGCGGTCGGTCTGGGGCCCGCACGCTTATAAAAATAAAGCATTGGGAAGCACAGGGGGTGGGAACAAAAGAGGCTTTTTCGCTGGCTCTCTAATATGGTTTTATTTATCGGAACGCGCCCTCCTTCCCTTACTGGAACTGGGAGAGGTTCTCTGCCGAGCTTGGAGCTGATGGTATCACAGCCAGACGGTTTCATTAAACGCACAGACGCCGCCAGGCCTTGCCAGGGGCAGAAGGAAGAGGGCTCTGGGCCAGCCTACCAGGGCCTGTGCGTGGATGTGGGAGCTCCATGCCAGGGAGGCACTCCCTCGGGGCATCTCTCTCTCTCTCTCTGCTGAGGGCATCCCATGCCCTCTTCCAACCACAGAGTCAGCTTCAAAGCCAACATCACAGGGGATGCCCTCCACAACTCCCTGCTTGGCTCAGGTTCAGTGCCCATCAGCTAACCTAGTATGATTCTGCTACAGGTGCCTAGGGCTTCTGACTGTGCGGTAGATGCCCTCACCCTTACAGCTAGCTCTTGAGCGACTGTCCCAATGTTGAACCTTGCTGTCTTCCTTAAGTGGAAGTCCTACTCTTACCTCACCTTCCCACCTCTTCTACAGCATGCCGTGACAGCCCCTCTCTTTGTCACCTCCTGTGCAGGGGTCTTGGTTTGTCTCTTAGTCTCCTTATGTCCAGAAACCTAGCCTGATTCCCTGTCTCCCCATCCTGGCCTGGTATTGTTTGGACGGCTCCACATTGTCTGAGGCCACTGGAGCTCTGGGTCACATGGGAAGTTAATGGCTGTGCTAGGGCTGGCCTGGGGGCTTGGCATTTGGGATAGAGCTGGGGTTGACGGCATCAGCTGTGTTAAGGCCTTATGCTTGGTCTTCTCAGACATGCAGCTCAAGCTGCCAGCATCCTGCATCTCAGCTCTCCTGTCCATATGCCCTAAGCACCTGTCATTTGGAGTGAATGGGACCCTACCCCTAACCTGACATGCTCTTGGGAGAAGATAGAGAACACCCTCCCTCAAGCACTTTACTCTGCTCCCAGATCAAGTGCACACATTCCCTAGACCTCACACCGGTGTCCAAATGTTTCCCACAACATTGCCTGGAACTTGCTAGAAAGTCAAGGAATCTACCCAACTCTGTTGCATAACATGTGCAAGAGAAAACATTCTAGGTATTCCATGGTACCTTCACATTTGGGGACCACTGTTCTGGAATCTGCTCCACTCATACCAACTTGCCTTTGGACAAGGCAGAGAAAATGACTGGCTGGGTCCCAGGCTGTTGGGGTTGGCAGGCATCACAGGAATGTTGGGCCAGTGAGGAGCTCACGCCATGCAGTGCCTGGCAGCTGTTGGCTCTGCAGCCACCTAAGGCTGAGCCATCTCTGCCTGCACCAGTGCAGTAGCCTCATACCTGGTTCATGTTATCACTTGTGCATCTCTAGGTGACAACGGGGGTGAGCTGCTAAAGAAGGGGACTGACTAGTCATGTCCTACTGATGCTATCTCAAGGCTCCCAGAACCTACTACCTGTGCCTTACTCCCCCTCCTCAAAGAATCCAGATCTCCCATGAACACATTTCTGCCCTCTGTGTTTATTCTTCCAAGATCTCATTCAAATTGTCATTAGTTGCCAACTTTACATTTTGCTCCAATTGTGTCCTCAGCTCCCAATGCCTGCTCCCTAGCATGGTGTGAAGAAGGCACTAAGAAAATACTTGTTGGATAAATGAATGGGCCACACAGGCACCCACTTTTTCTGGCACACCTTGCCCCAGTGGACAGATAGGAGTGGGAAAGGGAAGGTTTAAAGTTCCAGGCTAAGGTCAGGCTCTATCTCCATGTGGCTATAGCTGGCCTCAGAGATGACATCTGGCCTGAATGTTGTTATTCCAGAGTGACAGCCACAGCCATGCTCTGGCTTTGTGTCCCTGTGACTCCCAAACTGTCAGCTGAGTCTTGTCTCCTTCCTCACCCACCCTACACAGATCCCTATGCCATTGTCTCCTTCCTGCATCAGAGCCAGAAGACGGTAGTGGAGAAGAATACCCTGAACCCCACCTGGGATCAAACCCTCATTTTCTATGAGATTGAGATCTTTGGTGAGCCAGCCAGTGTCGCCGAGCAGCCACCCAGCATTGTGGTGGAGCTGTATGACCACGACACTTATGTGAGTATGTCTACCTGCTAATTCTCTTTGATGCCCATTTCCAGGACCCTAAGGAAAGCCATGCTGTGAGTGTTAGGACCCAGCTTAGTTACTTCTCTCCAAGGCTTAGGCTGGAGGCTTCCCTCCTCACTGCTCACTGAAATGGTTTTAGAGGGGTTCATGACACCTGTGCCATCACCCTTGGCAGACATGGCTAATCAAACTGAGATCCAGAAAGGGCACAGAGTTGTGGATTAAGGGTCTGGCTTTTCTCCAGGTCTATCTTGTCCTTCTTGCCACAATAATTAATCAAGTGCTTTCTGTACTGGGCTGAGTGGCCTCTTGCCTGAGGTTTGCTGCCTAGGTGGGAACTGAGACATCCAGCGTTTGAGAACCCTCTAGGTGAGATGGATGTCTGGAGTACCTTGTGGCCCTGTGGTACAGACAGGGCCTTTCCATGGTGATGTTCAACAGGATATTCTGTGGTGGTACTATGCCTTCTGGCTGTGCTCTCTGGGAGGGGAGCCACCAGCTTCATGTGGGCCACACTTGAAATGTCCTTGTACCAATGGAGAAACTGAGTTTTAAATTCTGTTTAAGTAACTGCAACAGGTTGTGTTGTGCATGTGGCATAACGGGTGGAGTGTTTGCTTAGCGTGCACAAAGCCCTAGATTTGATCCCTAGCACTGTATAAACTGGGCATCTAGGCATAGTGGTGCATGCCTGTAATCCCAGCATTTGGGAGGTAGAGGCAGGAGGATCAGGAGTTCAAGGTCCTCTTGGCTACATATTAAGTTTGAGGCCAGCCTGGGCTACCTGAGATCTTGCCTAAAAACAAAACAAAACAAAAACAAAAATCTCCCAAATCTGAAGGTGGTTTGATATGATACAGTATGATACAGTACTGTGCAAAATATCTGGGGTGAAGACAAAAACCCTGAAACAGATGTGGGAGGGGAACATAGAAGGACATTCTAGCAAATACAGGGGCTGCTGGAGGACACAGAGAGAGGCCAGAAGTAAGGGAGGCCATGTGGTACCAGACAAATCAAACTAGGTAGAGAGGCCAGGTCTGGGCGGGGTACAGTGGCAAAGAGGAGGGGTTGAAAGCTGTTTCCAGGAAGAGTTGCCATAACTACATGTCAGCAGCCAGGACTGGGGGAGGTGATGCTCTGCAAGGTGCCCACCAGATGATGACAGAGGCTGACAGTGGGTAGTGTGGGTCTGGTTTGGGGATTCTGACCTGGGAGTTCTACAGGAAGCTGAGTTCAAGGACAGGGGGCAACTGGATGGAATGTCATTGGGACCTCAAAGGGAAGGAAGGGGGAGTACATGTTGTGGTGCTTGTGGGGCAGGAGGAGAAGGGAAGCAGGGGGCTGGGAGGCTCTGGATTAGTACCAGGCAAGCTAGTAGGTTCCCTGGCTGAGCCAGAGCTCTTTGCAGGCCTGTTCACCCACACCCAGCCATGGGAACTCTAGAAATGTCTTCTGAGATGTGCCTTTCCCCTCCATCTCACTGCCACTCCTTACTCAGGCCAGGGCCTCTTTGACCTGTCCTTGGCTAGCCAGCCAGAAACTCTTTCAGAAGAATCTTCTGGAAATGTTGCTCCAAGCTACACCTCTCATGCTCGCCAGGCAAGGGAGAACGATGGCCTGTTTTGGGGTAGTGGTAGCTCCAGGGCTGAGCTGGAGTTGTGCCCATTGGGAATCTGCCAGTCCTACCCCTCTGCAGAACTCAGCAGCTAAAGGGCCCATACATGGCCCCGAGAAGCTCCAGACCCTTTCTAGTGCTGTGGTTACTGTCCATTCTGAGTGATGATTCTGGATTGTCACTCACCAATGTGGCATGTGTGCTGGAGCTGGTAGCCATTCCAGGATGGTTCATAGAGATGCTGAGGCCCTCCTGTAGTATAGTGTCAGAATAGTCAGGGCTGTCTCCCAGCTCTTCTCCTGGGCTGAGGGTATGTGATGCCCACAGCACCATCTGGGTGAGACCTGGCTTTGCTGACTGCCTTGTGAGCTATGGGTGACGGTCTGCTGTGACTGAGGTGAGCATGGAAGGAGGCTGAGGAGAACTGGTGTTCAATCACTGAGGGAGATGGACCTGTCATGTGGGCAGCAGGGGTGAAGTAGGAAGCCAGGCTCAAGACTTAGGAGGTAAAGACATCACTTTAGTAAGACTCACTTGGGTAAGCAAGATCACATTTTTTTTTTTCATCTGAGAAAATGGGGGAAGTCAGGGGTGAAACAGTTAAGTGATATGAGGGTCCCTGACATGTCAAACAACAAGGGTGTTAAGGAAGTGTAGGCAGACTGTTTCTCCTGGGTCTCTGATGGACTCGGGGATGATTAAGTAAAAGCATGGGGAATGCTAGTTGGATATACAGAAGGACTTCCACAACTGTTGTGGGAATTCCATCCTAGTACAGCGAGGGTGCTAATATCTTGTCCTCACAGTTCGCCTAAGAGGGCAATGCTTGGCATTCTGCATTAGAGGCTACCCTGACTTCTGGGGCCCTCTCTAGCCCCCAAGGTAGGATGTAGGCCTAGTTTCTTGGGGTCGGGTGGGGGGATGATGACACTGACTCTTCTTTTTCTATACTGGTCTAGGGTGCTGACGAGTTTATGGGTCGCTGTATCTGTCAGCCCAGCCTAGAACGGATGCCCCGACTGGCCTGGTTCCCACTGACCAGAGGCGGCCAGCCTGCGGGTGAGCTGCTGGCAGCGTTTGAGCTGATCCAGAGAGAGAAGGTAAGGCTGGCCACTGTCCAGGCCTGGGAGGCCCAGCTGGGGCCTGGCCAATGGTGGCGGGGCTGTCCACATGCTGAACTCAGTAAGGACTGGGATGGCTCCTCTGACGTCAGCCCTCCTACTGACACCCACACAGCTACCCTTCCTGATCTCCAAGTCCAGACACAATCCACTTGAGGGCAGAATATTGGCTTCTAGATGACTGAGTCCTCTGGCCATTAGCAATTTTTCTTCCCGGGTCATTCCCTGTCATGTTTTCCAGGAGCCAGTGTAGTTGGGGTAACGGCCCTCAAGTGTGTGAATGGGTACTGGAGGTAGGCTGTGTCATGGCCTGGCTCTGGACCTTGCAACCAGGGCCCTACTGTTAAATGCCAGGCTGTTCTGAGTTCTGTCCTCGGGCTTGCCATGGCTTCCACATGAACCTTTTTTGCTAACTGCTCCTGTGGCAGCTCTGGGTAAGGTGTCTGGAGGACATAGACTACTGCCCCTTCACCTCGGGACAGCCTATACCCATGGCCTGTTGCTACTTGACACAGTCTATGGGTGTTGGCCCAGGGTAGAAATGAGGGGTCTGGGATGGTCGATGAGCAGGTGAACAACACCCTCTTTTCTCTACTCTAGCCAGCAATCCACCATATTCCTGGCTTTGAGGTAAGTTTTGTTTGTATGTTTCTCTCCAGTCTCCCTACCTTTGCAGACCTCTCTAGGCTTGGGAGGGCAGCTAGCAAGTCCCTCCTTAGCCTACCTGAGGGCCCAGGAAGCTCCTTCAGGCAGAAGATGGCTCAGTGTGGCCCCAGGGCCTCTGACCAGGGGCTGAAGTTCTCATCTTACTCAGCGGCTCCATAACCAGCATAGACACCACCTGCTTGGAGATAGCTCAGCATTTTGAGTTCCAAACTGCAAAGATCCCAGAGCTGTCCATCCCAGTGCTCTGGGTTGGGCTTGGCAGTAGACTCACCATGGTGGATTTAACATTTACAGGAGTACAGGTTTGACCACCACCTCTGGGGGTGCAATTCAGGCTTAGGGTCTTCTGATACTGCCTAAGGCTTTTAACTTGCATCCCAGGCTGAGGATCAGAAAGTGTATTTGGGAGGAGCCCAGTATTGTTAGAAATGCCAATTTCTGGGTCCACTTCCCTCCAGGCAGGCTCTCAGGGTGGAGGCTCCGCATTCTGGACTTCATCCACCCACATGAAGCTTCAGATGCCCAGGGAGTTTCAGAATGTCAGCTAGCTCAGTTGGCCTAGCTCATTCCTCCCATGTGACCCCTTCCTCTCCTCTGCTGGCAATGTCCCCTTGGTCTTCTTCCTGTCCCCCTCTCTCTCCTTTTCCTGGAGGTCCCAGTAGAAAACCTCTGTCGAGCCTCAGACTTGTTTTATTCATTGTTCCATTTTAGATCAGGCTCAGCAGGAGCTGCTTGGGCTGTGGGGAGGAACACACTGGGACTGATGGTTGTAGCCACACAAGCCCTTCCCACACCCTTTGCTTCTCCCTGCCCTTCTCCTGCCAGTCTTTTCCCTTGTCCTGGTAGAAGTGGGGCCCTCAGCTCTTCTAGTCCCTGGGGGTTCTATGTAGCTTTCCCAAGGCTCCCCAAGTCTACAATATAGATCTATAGCTTTGCTTGAGGCCTAACTTCTTCCTGGGGCTGCTACACAGGGTCCCACTAGTCTGATGTTCTCTCTCTCTGGCCACTTCTGGAGAGGATCAGACTTTCTCACAGCTCGTTGTCCCTTCTTCATATGGAAGCACCTAAAGGGTGTGGCGAAGAAGCTGGCATACTCACCCATGGTGGGAGGACTTTCTGTGGGTGCCATCTCTATCCCAGCCAGTGCTTCTGGTTACTAATGGAGACCCTTTGCTTTCCTGGTTCTTCCACTGTCTCCCGGATGTGGCCCATCCCAGATGCATGAAACGTCAAGGATACTGGATGAGGTGAGCTGAATCCAAGGATGGAGGAGGTGGTAGACCTGGAGGGAGGGAGATAAAGGCCAGCCTTCTAAGCTGCTGTCACAGGGTGCCTGGTCTGGATTTTAGTCCTTATGCTCAGAGTGGAGCCACAGCTGCCTGGGGTACATCCTGTGAAGTCATTCTAGCTCCAGAGGCTTGATGCCCTTAGTAGTTCAGACATATACAGATCACTTGAATGACAATACTGAGTTTTGTCTGGTTGAGTACCAGATGGCATATTTTCAAGCATAAAATGTTGGATATGTACCAGAGTAGCCAAGGAAACCTTTCTGGTGGTGGAGGCAGTGTTAGGAGTCTGACAAAGCACTGAAGAAGGTGGGAGGCACATATCTTTGGTCCAAGGGGCCTAGGTACAGTGTGAAGATGGATGGGGAGGAGAGCCCTGGGCAGAGGCCAAGCAGGAAAAGGCCATCCATGTCCTCCATCAGGGAGTCAGGGACTCCCTGGGCTGGGTTGAGAGCGGATACCACTTGACATTTTCTGTGCAATTTGGACTTGAAGTGCAGGATCAATCAGGATGTGGGATTGTAGCCCGCCTCCCTTCCCTCACTTCCTTTCACTCCCAGGCAGAGGTGGGGGCCTGCCAGCTGCTGGCCTTCTTCGCGCCTGACAGGCGGCCTCCTGCTTCTGGCGGCCATGCGGAGAGACTGCCGATTTGGAAGGCAACATAGAACCCTAGCCAAAACCCACAGCCTGTGCTGAAGAGGACCCAGCCTAGGGATGAGTTATGACAGGCTCAGAATCCTTCATGACCGATGTGTCATATGGAATAGCGAGGGCTCGGACTCAGGGCGAGGATACGGCTGTGGCCTGGCTGCCATGAAGCAAATCAAAACTGCAGTTTGGGGCCAAACTCTGAAGGGTTGAGCATCAGGGCTGTCCAGGCCTCCTGCCGAGACTTCCTGTGGTCAGCAAGGCCAGAGGACAGTGATCCTTGGGAGTTTTCTGCATACAGACAGGACCAGCCCAGCAGGTTCAAAGGTTCGAGGCCCAGAGAGGGGACCCATCCTATAAGATGACCTTGTGGTACCCCTTATCCCAGAGGGTGCCAGTGTAACCCTTGGCCCTGAGTTCAGCACACTTCCCCTGACTGAAGGCCGAGTCTCCTGCCAAGAACTTGGGGCTTACTCAGTTTTAAGGCTCCCCAGAGCCGAGAGAAAACAGGTCATTCTCCTTGCTGTTCTGCTCCTGCACAAAGCCCGCTGACCCAGCAGAGGGTTTTCTGTCTTTTTTTGTGTGTGGTGCCCCAGCACCTGCTTGTGTCCCTTGCTAATTTCCCTTGGGCTCCCAGTCCAGTCCCTGTGCCCAGTCCCCTGGGAACAGAGCAGGAGCAGGAGTGTGGTGGTTGGTGCTCTCATGCAGGGCATATAAGCTGTAAAGCTGGAAGAGAGAATGGGAAAGATAATGGGAACGGGACAGTTGTGGTTGCGGGGCCTGCTGGAGCTGGGCCAAAAGGACCAGGGAGACAGTGTCTCAAGATTGGTGAAGTCCAGGAGTACCCAACTGCTAGCACAGCTAGGTGGAGAGCCACACATGCCCCCATGGTGCTGAAGGGCCTCTAAGTGAGCCATGGGGCTGGCTGCCCATGAGAACGGTTTCTGGAGCAGGGCAGAGGATGGATCCCTGGAAGAGGGGACACTGAGCTAACATTTGAAGCAAGGGAGTAGCAGGAAGGTTTTGGAGGCAGTGCCTTGGGCTGGAGACCCCGTGCTGTAGGGACACTGCAGTAGCAACAACAGCCTCTCGCAGGCTCTCTGCCACGGGAACACTGCTCTGTGGGGCTCTAAGTGGGGGAAACCAGGCTGCCTTGCTTGCTGGGGGCTTTACAGTGTGCAGAGACCTGAGCCCTTGTGGAAAGCTGACAGTGGTGTCTTTGGCCTTCGTCCTCTCTCGTTTTTTGAGCTTTGTCCCATCGTCCTTGTCTCATCATTCCTCTGTGCCCTCCTTGGCCTATCTTCCTTCCCATCTCTTCTGAGCCCCTCCCCTCTTTTTTTTTTTTTTTTGGTCTTGAGAACAAAGGCAGTTCCGGCTGCCAAGGGGAATGAGTTCAAAGAAACTGCAATTTTAGATTTCCTGAGAACTGGCGAGTATGCATGTGCAGTGCGCATGGGCATGTTGGTGGGAACACGCATGCACACTCATGGCAGGCAAACACGCATGCACACTCATGGCAGGCAAACACGCATGCACGCACACATGGCAGGCAAACACGCATGTGCACACTCATGGCAGGCAAACACGCATGCACACACACATGGCAGGCAAACACGCATGTGCACACTCATGGCAGGCAAACACGCATGTGCACACACATGGCAGGCAAGGTGCTGGGGGCTTCTTACTAGTGGGGATCTGAGAACTGGGAACATGTGTAGAGGAAGATCTTCCCCAGAACCTGGGGGATTTGACTGCTCAAAGGACATGGTTAGTTGTCTCTCTTCTCTTTTGCGCTGAGGTAAAGGATGCCCTGGTAGAGGGCAGCATATGCTTCTTGGCTGCTTGTAATACCAGCATGGTGGTCCAACTACTCACCCTAGACACCTTCCCAAATCTAGGAGGTGGCAGGATATACAGCTTACTCTGAGACCTACCCCAGGTTTGTTCCTGCACCCCAGCATCCACTAGAAGGAAACATTTGGTGTTTTGCAATCAGGAAAATAAGCCCAGTGCCCCCCATCCCTTTCCTCCTCCCCCAAGGCCTTAATTTGAAACACTATTTCCCTGGGAAGTGTAATTAGACCAGCATGTTGTTCCTAATGAGCTGGGTGGGGCCGACAGACAATGGAGCCTCCTGCTGCCTGCCTGCCTGCCCTCTGCTTACAGCTCCCCAAGAAACCAGCATGTCTCCCCCTTGCATGAGGTGGGGGTCTGAGGGCTTCAGGGGACAGGGCAGCCCAATTGGCTGCAGAGGAATTTCAACACCTGCACATCAGACTAGTGTGTTGTCACCTAGGACTAGGAGCATATCTGGGTCTTCAGCTCTCTGTGCTGAACTGGCTGGCCGTGGGGACATATGAGCTGAGAATCTAAGGGTGGCTTCTATTGGAAGTCCTTCAATTGTTCCTGGAGATCTGGGTCTGAACTGGTTTGATCACCACCCTGCCCACCTGTGAACTCCACTAGTAGGTGGTCCCAGCTTTGCTCTAGATTCAGAGCAGGCACAGGAATTCGGTTAATATGGCTATCCCTGACCAGGCTAATAAGGTATTGGCTTGTCCTTGGGGCCTGGAGTGGTCAGTCCCTGTCACTTGTGAGACAGCCAATCAGACACCTTGGCTGCCTTTGACATTTGCCCCCTTCCCTTTCCTGGCAGTGCAGGTATGCTGCCCAGTTTTGATAAGGACAGTATCCATATAACTTTGGGCTACCTAGGTGGGCTGGACCAAGAGGAAATTGATGCTTACTTAGGAGCTGGCAATATGGCTCAAGTTCACTTTTACCTCCTGAGATGAACAAAGGACAGTTAGGTTCACTGGAACTGTGTGAGGTGTGTGTGTGTGTGTGTGTGTGTGTGTGTGTGTGTGTGTAGGGGGGTATGGGGTGTGTGGGGTGTGTGGGGTGGGGGGGTGTGGGGGTACAGTATTTATTTAGGTTTAATAGATGTCAGAGGGCAGGGCTATAAGAAGTTTCTGGAGTGTTTGGAGGAATTGAGGGAGAGTTTGACTTAGGCCCCGAAGACTGCCAAGTCCCAGAAGGTAGTGAAGGCGGCCGGTCCAGCAGTGAGCAGGAACAGATAGCAAGGGCTCAGGGAGGACCTGAGGGTGATGGCAGAGCAGGCAAGGAGAGCCACTTCTTTACTCCCTCCTATCCCCTTCAATCCTTCCCTTACACCAGTTATCTTTTCACAGTCCTTGCTTATTAATCAGAGTTGCTGGTTACCTAGGGACAAACAGAGAAGTGGCATAGGGTGATTGATGTGTCTTTTAGTGTTACCAAGGTCGGGGTGGACAGAGGCTATGGGAACCATAGAGACATTGGAATAGAATACACTTAAGGCATCAAGGAAGAGTTAAATGGCATATAGAGTCGGAGCGGGAAGTGGCCAGATGAAGAGGGACAGTATTCCAGATGGATGGATGGTGAGTGCCGAGTCCCGAGGCTAAAGAGAACACCGCACCTCCATTTAAGAAGGGCAGGGATTGAGTATATTCCAGATTTGGGGTCCTGAAGGAAAAGTCATGTGGTGAGACAAGTCAGCAGTGGTTGGAAGATGAGAGGTTTGGGGGCCTCTTCAGGTTTTGTAAGGGTCTCAGGTGCTGGGTCACTTGATTGATACATCCTGCCTGCATGCCCACAGAGTGGAATAGGTGTTGTTAGTTGAGGATGTGTGTGAAGCCAGAAGCAAGGAGACCACAGAGAGGGTCACTGGATATCTTGACAGGAGAAAGAAAACATGTGGATGGGCGGGAAGAAGTGGAAGAGGGGGAGGGGGCTAATGGCTTAGGAGGGACACAAGGAACAGAAAGCCTATGAGGTATAGAAGATTGGCTTTGCAGGGCTGAGGGTGGCCTGGGAGGCTCACCCTTGAGAGGGGGAGGGAACTGAGTAGGCAGGTGGCTGTAGAAGAGACACGGAGTTCAGCTGGCAGGTGCTGACAAGGGGTGGGAGAGGTGAGAATCCACAGGTGGCCTTGGGCTGAATGTTGACTTGGGAGAGAAGTTTCCAGAGAAGAGGCACTGGAGCAGAATCAGAGGGTGGAGAGGAGCATGGAGGCGGGGGAGGACTCAGAGAAAGTGTGGATGGGGTGGAGATCCCTGGGGTGGAAAGACACCTGCAAGCAACGGTGAAGGACTGGAAGGAGGGGGTGAGATGGGGTCAGGGACCTAGGGAGCACTAAGGACTGGGTACACAGTTGCTGAGTTGTGTGGCAGTTGTACTGGAGGACAGAGGACCAGGATGGTGTCTTGTGGGCTGTGGGGAGAAGGCCATTAAGAGAGGGGGCCTGAGGAACTGTAGCCAAATGGCAGAGGGCAGGAATGTTGTGGGAGGCCTGGGGACAGTACGGGGGACAGAGGCAGTGTTGGGATGAGCGTGGTGGCCTCACACTAAGGAAGTGGTCCCTGGATGTCCACTAACCCCTGTCTCTGCTTCTCTTCTCCTGCTCCCATTGCCTGGGTCCACAGCTGTGTGCTCCTGCCTTCTTCCTGCAGGGCCTCCTCCAGACGGTACAGCATTTCACCTGCTTGGGCCCCCTTGCCGACATCCTACTCAGAGAGTGGGCCCCCACCGCAGGGAGTCTGGTTCTCAGGCCCTACAGCAGACATCATCACAGGGCTTGGGGGAACTAGAGGCAAGGTGCACCATAGACAGCCTACAGACAGCTGATAGATAGGTTTTCTTTGGTGATTGTCAAAGAAATGGGTGAGGAAAATTGTTTTTTGGCCTCCTCATTTGGCAAAGCTTGGAGTCCAACACTTCCTGTTGCCACCCCGCCAATACTTTGGTCCTGCAGTGGACTGGGCATCAGCCATGAGAGGTTAGGAAAGAATATGCCATAAAGCTTTACTCTTAAAATAGGCCACCCCCGCTGCATAGACACCTGTAGCTGGTGGCAGATGTTATAGTGTGACTCCAGGTTCTGTTAGCAGCCCAGCTTCTACAGTGGCTGCACAGACTGTCTGGGGCACCTGTCCTAGACTCTGTGGTGGGCACAGTTCCCCTGCATGTGTGTATTGTGGCAGATCTGTCCATCGGTTACCCCTCCTGTATCATGGCATCCACTGTGGGCTAGGAGTAAACTAGCCAGTTTCTACCTTTGTCCTAGTGATGGAAGGGCAGTGATAAAGCCAATGTTGTTCTAAGAGATGCTTCTGGCAGCCCAGCTCTCCTCAAGTGACCCCTAGAAGAGCAATCTGAACACCAGTGGTAATAGCCATGGCACCGACAACAATGGCATCCGTAATTACAGTCACACCATTTATTAAGTGCCTTCTGGTGCCAGATACCCATCTTGTTGGTCTTCTCATTTAATTCTCAGAGTAAATTTGTTGAGCATCTTGTTATTCCTTCATTATAAGGACACTGAGTCACTGGTGCTGAGTAATCTGCCCAGGACCACACAGCTAGGGAGGAACAAAGTTGGCATTGGAGTCCAGGGCTGTCTGATCCTGGACCTGAGGTCCTCACTGCCAGGGGTCAGGATGGCGTGGCATCATCAGTGGGCCACTGGGCAAGAGGTGGCTGCAGTTACTGTGAAATTTGATATAGGTGGGAGGAAGCTGCTTTTTTTCTCTGCTCCTGCCGCTTGTCACCCATGCTAGCAATTGTCTGTCAATATACCATTCTTTCTGAAGCAAGACTGTTGGCGAATAAGTCAGGTGGCCACAATGCTTATTAAAGCACAGCCTGTTTGATAATAGTTAATCTTTGTAACATCAAGACCACCATGTATGGCTGTGCTGTCTGGGAACCCCACAAGGATGGTGCATCTAAGGAGGTACAATTTCTAGCATAACCTGTGTTTGTGTTTATTATAAAGGTTTCCCACTAGGTGGCAGTGAAGCGTCTTGACCTAATAAAGTTATAAAATTTAATTTCCTGACATGGAGTCAAAAGTCTTAAGAACAGGGCATTTTACTCTAATTGGCCTAGTGGTGCCACTGAGTGTTTACTGATGCAGACACTCTTCAAGGTGTATGGCATGAGCTTCTCGGCTCTCACACTAGTGACTGCCTACAGACTAGCTTCTACTAACTAGAGCTTGTACCAAGAGGCTGAGTGACAGAAAGGTGAGGTAACCTTTCTAACCTTGAGGATGGTGGCACTAGTGTTCACACCCAGAGCTGCCATGCTAGGAGCCCATAAACCTGAGATCACACCTCTCTCTATTGTCTTGTCCTACCCAACTCCTTTGGGAAACCCCTGAGCAGGCCAGCATCACGCCCCACATGCCTCACTCATTTCTGGTCTGTGTTGTTGAGGGAGACTCCTCTGGAGTGCTGATGATGGTGGCCTTACAGCCCATGTCTTATCAGGACAGCAGCCACACATCCCTGTGTCTCATTTGCCTTGCTTTGTTCTTCCTGGTTTCCTATGAGCATGCTCTGTTCTCGTTGATATGATAATAGGGTTGGGGGTTGGAGGGTGTCTGGTTAGAAACAGGTTGCATCTCAGCTGGTGGGCGGGAGAACAAGCATGGAGGGAAGTGACTGAAGTAGGTGGGCCAGGATGGAGCAGGAGGGCATGCATGCTCATGTCAGCACATGAGTGCATTCATATGTGAGCACACATGTATGTGCTATAGAGGGGGAGACATGGGTGTCTCACTGGTGCTCTGGAGCCTGGGAGGACACAGCCTTGACCTTGTGCAAAGATGTGTGCATTCTGATCCTGCTCAGGACAGGGCTGCCCAGCTGAGGCTGACCCAGCACCCTCACTTTTCTTGCCTGTTTGCCCTCAAGTTCTGTTTTCTCTATTCTTGGGTCTCTCAATGCATGCCATTGCTTTCTGCCTGCCTTTCCTTACTAATCCTACTGCCTTGGCCTTCCCCCACTGTGGTTTTCTGCCTTGCTGTCCCCTGCAGACGGAGGACACAGACTTGCCTTACCCACCACCCCAGAGGGAGGCCAACATCTACATGGTCCCTCAGAATATCAAGCCAGCCCTGCAGCGCACAGCCATCGAGGTGAGCCTGACTGTGGGGCAGGGGCTGCCAGGCTGGCCTCCCCATTTCCTGCTCCAGCCTTGCTCAGCTGTTCTCCCCTTTCTCTGTCCCCAGATCCTGGCCTGGGGCCTGAGGAACATGAAGAGCTATCAGATGGCCAGCATCTCTTCCCCCAGCCTCGTGGTGGAGTGTGGTGGCCAGACAGTGCAGTCCTGTGTCATCAGAAACCTTCGGAAGAACCCTAACTTTGATGTCTGTACCCTGTTCATGGAAGTGGTGAGCTCTTCCTCCCCACTGTTCCCTTCCAGAGCCCTGAGGGATAGAGTAACCTCATGATCCCAGCAACCCTGGGGTTCAGCTCCAGTTCTCAGAAGGGCCCAGGTGTAGGTGTGTGTGTGTGTGTGTGTGTGTGTGTGTGTGTGTGTGTATCCTGTCATCTCTACAGCATCACTGTGAATACAGAAATTACTTCTTGCCCCATCGAAGGTTTTTGTCTTTTGTGCAGCACATATGGCTACCTCCCCCTCCTACCTGATCCTGGGTCAGTAGAAGCCTTGGGAGCCATTTTAAGTCTATTTCCTTTTGGGAAGGCTTTCATTGCCAGGGTCTCCTCCCAGAGACCCTTCAGGGCTGGCCTTCAGCCATTCTTCCCAAGTTTCCCTGCCTGTTTCTTTGCTAGCTTGAGCCCTGCAAAGAAACCTTCAACATCTAGTCCCAGCTTCCTAGTTCTGGTCCCTCAGTTCCCTGTTCCCAGGCCATTGGGCCCTCAGCTCTCAGCCCTATCTCAGCCCTCAGTTCCCTATCCCCACACTTTCAGGTCCTGGCCTCCAACCCCCAGCTTCTCAGGCCCTAGCCCTTGGTCCCCTAGTTCTCAGTTTTCAGCCTCCAGCTCTCCAGACCCTGGTCCCCAAGTCTTTAGTCTTGTAGCTCTTGGGTCCCCAACCATCAACACCCAGTCCCTGGCCCTTGGCTTTCCGGCCTTTGATATCCCAGGCACCGATCTCCATTCCTCAGCTCCCAGCCCCTGATCAGAGCCTTGAGGCCTCCACCTCCATTTCTCCAGTCTCTGGTCCCACAGTGTTCATCCCCATGTCCTCAGTGCCCCAGCCCCTGAGTCCTCAGCCTTGCCTCCCAGTTCACAGCATCCCAGCCCTTGACCCACCAGCTCTCAGCCCCCATAGCCCTCAAACCTGATCCCCATGGTGTCCCAGTGCATGGTCTCCCAACCGCTATCCTCACTGGCCTTCTAGCTTCTGGCCTCTCAGCCCCCACTCCCACCCCTATAGATCTTAGCTCCAAACCTCCCTTCCTTGGCAGTCCTCTGCCTTTGGTCCTTGACTCTCAACCCCTGGCCTTCCAGTCCTCAGACTCAACCCCCAGCCCTGAGCCCTGAACCCTGAGTCTCCCATCCCTCAGCCCTCTAGTCCTCAGCCCCCAACATCTCCAGCTCCCTGGGCTGCCTGGGCCCAGTGGCCGATGTAAGTCAAGTCTGAGAAAATAAAATAGTTTGCAAGATGAAAGCACAATAGAAATTCCAGGCCCAGTGGCTGTCAACAGGAGCCTTCTCTTGGCTCAGCTAAGACGCCACTGAAGGAGTGCATATAAATTATTTCAAGTTGTGTTCAAAGTACTTTTGGGGTGTGGGGGAAGAATCTAGGTCTGCAAGCCAACTCCTGAGTATCCACTTGGGGGGGGACTGTCTGTAAGAAATGCTGAGCTGCAGCCTGACTCCCCCCTCACCCCTAAGCAGTGCAGGCTCAGAGAAAATAGACTTGGTCAGACTTCAGGCTGACCTGGGTGTGTTTAGAGGTAAAGCTATGGGAAAGTCAGTCTCCACACATAGCCACCAAGGGCAGACAGAAAGGTGTGGCCTCTGTCCCATTGGCTAGCACTGGCTGTGGGCTACCATTTTGGATTTGGGGCTCTTGGGGACTCAGAGTTACTCTCTGTCCCTTGATCCTCCCCATGAGTACTCTCCCTCCCTTCATCCCCCGAGACTTCCCAGAAATGGGTTTAGGCCCAAGTTTAGAGTGTCCCTCTTCTTCTCTCTCCAGATGTTGCCCAGAGAGGACCTCTATTGCCCCCCTATTGTGATCAAGGTCATTGATAATCGTCAGTTTGGCCGCCGGCCAGTAGTGGGCCAGTGCACCATTCGCTCCCTGGAGAAATTCCTGTGTGACCCATACTCAGCAGAAAGTCCATCCCCACAAGGTGGCCCAGGTAAAGATGGAGAAATGACCTTTGCTGAGCTGCCCAAAGGTGGGGTCTTTCCTTCCTCAGGTTGGCGCATCTGGAACAAGTGATTCTACTTGTTGGTGGGAGGCATGGTTCAAAATAGGGGTGGGGGCGGAGCTGGTTGGGGATACATGGAGGGAGAGGAATAGGAGGTGGAGAATGTGGGAAGATGCAGAGGGATAGAGTCAGGCAAGGGAGGGTCTGGGGCAGAGAGAACCACCTCTGCTAGGGAGAGAGGGGTGCTAAGATTGAGGGCTCTGGTGACAGTCCCTTGGCTGAGTCCTTCATAGGAGTGAACTTGCTTTCCCTGCAGATGATGTGAGCTTACTCAGCCCTGGGGAGGATGTGCTTATTGATATTGATGACAAGGAGCCTCTCATCCCTGTCCAGGTAGGAAGAGTGAGGTGGCAGCTCCCTCCTGCCCCACCCTGCGCTCCTCATCTCCTCTAGCTCCTCCCCTACCCTTCACAACCATATAGCCATTCTACCCACCCCTCTATATCCTGGTGTCTGGTGCTGCCCGATGGAAGGAATGGGTGGGAACTTTCAGTCTGATTGGAGAAGGGATGTGTAGTCCTTAGGATAAGATCTAAACTGTCTTCTGGAAGCATGTGAAGAAAATGGACCATTTACCTTGGGGCTGCATTGAAGGCTTTCTGCCTGAGATCCCTCAGTGAGGAGGAGATGGGAGGGAGTGTCTCTTCTCTGACGGAAGATTGTTCTGTGATCTCATGCTTGGCAGCTCTTTGGAGGTAACTTAGAGAGAACAGGCTGTGTTTAGGACTGTAGTATATCTTGCTTATCCCCCACCTCCAGGACCAAGAAGGAAGCCTACGGCGTATTTTACCCAAAGGAACACTGTTCCTAACTTAGACACTGGATGGACTCTGCATTCCATCCAGTACTTGCCCCAAGAGAGGTGGAGAAAGTCCTACTGTGAACAATGCATGAACGTGCTCAGGCTGTTACCCTCCTCTGTGGCTGTGCATGCTGTTGCTCACACACTTGATGCCTTCTGTGCTCCTAGAGCCTCAGGCTGCCTGAGGCAGAGCCTCGCAGCCTGTTTGACAGTGTCCTATCCTCAGGCTGCAGTGGATAGATGGGGGTGGGGAGGTCCATGGTTGGATGGATAAACACGTGACAATCACTGAGGCTCTGTGCTCTTCAAGCTACCCATTAAATCTTAGCTTTGTACATGAGAGCAAGCCTGAGTGCTGAGATGGCCTCAAGATCCCCAGAGCCCAGCTCGGAAGCATTCTCTGGAAATACTGAGTGCCATTTTCTGCCACCTTCTCAATCTCTTCCTGCTACCTCCAGTGGAGCATCCCCAGCTTTGCTCCTGGAGTCATACTGCTGCAGAGGCAGGAAGTCTTGCTCTATGGTTTCATCAATGCGGAGAAGGTGTCAGAATCCCAAGCCCTTATCTCTTAGCCTCTAACACTCACCAGGGCTCTGCTCTGCCAGCCTGTCTGCCGAGACAACCTTTGCCTTCGTTCTCTTGCTCAGTTTACTATTTGAGACTCAGCTTAAGAATGCTCACCACTTGCGGACTTGGCCAGGATCTTGGCCACTGCATCAGCTCTAAGTTCTGCATGTGTCTCTGGGTCTCAGCATCTTCTCTGGACTAAATGCATGACAGCAGCCAGGGTGCCGTCCTTTTGATGTTCCCAATGCCAGCACAAGGCCTGGTTTAGAGGAGGTATTCAATAATAATCTGTCTAGATGGGTGGGTGGATGACTGAATGCTGAATGGATGGATAGATGGATGGGTAAATGGATGGATGAATGGATAGGTGGATGGCTAGATGGGTGAATAAATTATCGGATAGATAAGAGGATGAGGGATAGATGGATGGCTTCCCAGAAGGATTGCTGCTCTTTGTGTGCTACCTTCAGTGTCCACAAGCTTAGATAAGGAGGGACCATTTGGGCCCTTTTGACTACAAGTGCAGCCAGAGGTAGACAGTGAGAAGACCCAGGCTGGACAGACTTCTTCTGGCCCTGACATGAGGGGCCCAGGGCTGGGCCTGAGCAAGAGTCAGAGCCAGAGATAGGCCTGGGCTCCATGTGAGCACATGGCCACTCTGACTGAAGCAGTGGGCAGAGAGGTGGCTGGCCAGGAGCTGGGCTGCTGGAGGTGTGCCCCACAGGCAAGGCTGGCTTTGTCTAGGTTGGGAGATGGCAGGAGGAAGAGGAGGACAAGAGCAGGAGGAGAAAGAGAGACACCAGCTTGCTTTGATGGGAGAGGCCTGGGTCCCATTCTTACTGAAAATACCATCTGCCAGGAACATACTGTCTTGGTGAGGTGATATGTGTGTTTATATAGGAAGGTTTTTGTTTTTGTTTTTGTTTTTGTTTTTGGTGTGTGTGTTCTGTGTGGGTTTCAGATTGGCTGTTGGTGTGTGTGTGTGTGTGTGTGTGTGTGTGTGTGTGTGTGTTTATGTATGTGGTGTATGTATATGTGTGTGGTGTGCATTCCATGCAGGTTTTAGATTGGCAGCTAGGAGTATGGTGTATATGCACACATAAGGTAGGTGTGTGTGTGTGTGTGTGTGTGTGTGTGTGTGTGTGTGTACAGGCTGAAGTCAAAACCCAGAGCCCTGTGCATGGTGTGTGTATATGTGTGTCAGTAAGGTGGTGTATATGTGATAAGATGATGTGTGGTGAGGTTGTTTGTGTGTGTATACATGTGGTGAGGTAGTTTGATTTTGGTAAGCTGGTGTATGCATGTGGTAAGGAGATATGTGTGGTAAAGAGCATACACGTGGTGAGGTAGTATGTGTGTATATGTGGTAAGGGTGGTGTGTGTGTGGTGAAGTGGCGTATGCATGTGGTAATGTGGTGTGTGTGTGTGTGTGTGTGTGTGTGTGTGTGTGTGTGTAGTAAGGTGCTATGCATGTGTGTATGGTATGTGTATTACTGAGGACACAGCTGGCAGGTGGCATGGAGGAGTCCTGAAAAAGTGACAGGGACCTTCTCTCTCATGGTGGGCTGGGGTGTGGGCAGCTCTCAGGCTCAGGCTAATTTGGAGCTCACTGCTCCAGTTATAGTCTTCAGGCTGCCATGAAGGTGGAAACACAGTCCCAAAATTGGAGCAGCAAATTATGGCCACAGCCTGAAGGGGAGCGTGTAATTTCTGCAGCTGCACGGAGCTTTGGCGCTATGTTTAGCTGCATGTGTTCCTTTTGCTCTGGTGACCTGCCTGTCCCCCTCACCTTCTTTAAAAAGGGACACTTTCAAAATAACAGTGAGGCCTCTGAGGGGTCAGAGCAAGAAGGAGAGGGACAGAGCCATCTTTGGCCATGCTGGGGTTGCTGGAGGTATGCACAGTCTATTCTGGAAGGTCCTACTGTACTCCATATTGGACAGCAGCGCTGGCTGGTTGCCATTTAATCTCCCTGACTTCCCAGACTTGGACTCTGGGGCTCCTCAGTGAGGAGAGGGCTGGGAGTCTAACCCCACTCTGGGTCTCAAGAGAGCCTCTGCTCACTTCTGCCCTACACCCGACCTCTCTTCCTGCACAAAGAAGGGAGCCTGGTCAGGGCTTCACCTTTTCAGGTCCTCTTGGAGCCTCTGGATCATTGACGAGGGAGGCTGGTGCTGGTGGCTGCGGATCCCCACTGGCCCCTGGCTTCTCTAACCTCACCTCCCATTCCCCCTGCTGCAGGGCCTGTTTTCTGTCATTACCCTCACCTCCACCCCAGATCTGCTGTGTTTCCTTCTCTCTGCCCCTCTTCCCTGCTTTCACCTACCCGAGCCCTATCCTCTCACACTGGCCTCTTGGCATGGCCTTCAAGCATGTCTGAGGGGCTTCTATCAGACATCAAAGTACGGTCCTAGAGATACCACCTGAGGGTTTATGGTGGGAAGTCATTTCTAGGACAGGCAGCAGGGGTGTGCTGGGAGGCTCCTTCAGCTTCCTTCATGTAGGCCTGGGGAGCCATGTGGTCCCCAGCTTCTGGAGGATGAAAGCTGAGGCTCTTGCTTGGCTACCCTGCCCAGCAGGTATGGGTATGTTAGTGACAGAAGGGGCAAATAAAGGGACTGTGGGGACTGGAAATGTCCCTGGAGCAGGTAGACTTGAGACAGGCAGGGAGAGTGGCTGAGTAGGTGGCACCTGAGCTTGTGGCAGCAAAGGCAATTAGGGAGCAGCAGGAGATCACAGATTTAGACTCTGACTCAGCACTTACTGTTGCTCCAGGTCATTGTGGTTCAGGGAGGGCACGGAACTGTATCCAAGGTCACGTAAATGGTTGGGTCATGGAGCCAGGATTGTCCATACTTTTCACACAGCTGATGCAGAGGGTGCCTGGAGGAAAGTGGGGATAACTGTACTCCTCAGGGCTGGCCAACCTTCCCTATCACAGGTCCTCAAAACTTGCCCTCAAATCCTGTCACTAACTGGCATGTTTAATTTGTAGCTCGCAGATGGGCTGTCAAGCTTGACCCCAACTAACCTGAGGTCTTCTCCGTCCAGTCCTCATGTAGGTATTGCTCAATATTTGTTGGCTTGATTTTCCTTATGAATCTGGGAATAAGAACAAAGGATAAGGAGGAGAGGAGGCATCGCTGGGCATGGTGCACCCATGGAGGGGTGGGGAGAAGGCTCTGGGGTGCAGTCCCATAAGTTTCTACCTCTGATCAATGTCCTGCTCCTCCTGAGCCTTACTTCAGTCCTGGTTACCCATTTGGGCTGGGCTTTGGTGTGGCTTCGAGGGCCAGAGGAAGTAGGCATGTCTCTAGCTTCAACTCTGCCCTTTGGGACTTGGGCCTGAGAAGGCTCTTCAGATGGCAGCAGCTAGCCTTCCCTGTTACTCCCAGCACGCCTGTGGCTGTGGCTGAGGCTGAGGACTCCTGGTGGGTCCTGATGTACCCTGAGGTCTAAGTGGCAGGGCCGGTGTCAGCACTGTGGTGCCCAGTTTCTGATTCTGCTGATCTATGAGGTTCAGGCTTCTTTCTGAATTACCTTTTTTTTGGGAAATACATCTCCATTTGCTGCTAAGACTGTTTAGGCATGCACATGTTTTTAGGTATGTATCTTTTATGTACTTTTATATACTTTGAGTTTTACAATGTTAGGATTATATTGCATCTTCTTATAATCTGCATTACAAAGCTTAAGCATAT